TGTTCAGTGAGTAATTGGTTTGTGTAGGTAGTCCAGAAATTCCTAAGGTACCAAATGAAAACTATGAAGTTCACGCTTTACTTATTTCTAATATCAATATCTACTTAATCAATTAAGTAAATGTTCAAAATTAGTTTTCTATTAATACTATTAGGCGGCGATTCTCGTTATCCCAGTACAAACCTCACTGGATATGAGAAAAGCAATACGATTAGAACTAAACGAAGCCCAGCGGATGGAACTCGAAAGAGGATACCGCCTGGGAGAGAAGCACTGTTTCAGGATGAGGTGTTTGGCCATACTCCTGAAAGCAGAGGGACAGTCCGCCGCGAAAGTTGGCGAGAGGACAGAAATGGAACAGCACACCGTGAGCAAATGGCTCAAGCGGTACGAGAAAGAGGGAATCAAGGGGCTGGAGACGCGTCCGGGGCGTGGACGCAAGCCGATTATGGACTGCTCGGACGAGGAGGCCGTCCGTCGGGCGATAGAACGGGACAGGCAGAGCGTGGACAAGGCACGGGAGGCATGGCAGCAGGCCAGCGGCAAGGAAGCCAGCGAGTCGACGTTCAAGCGTTTTTTATCAGCATTGGCGCAAGATATAAGCGTATAAGGAAACGCCCAAGGGGAAAACCCTCGCCGCAGCTCTACGAGTACAAGGCCGAGAAGCTGCAAGAACTTGAACGAAAGGCTGATGACGGAAGGATAGACCTCTACTATGCCGACGAGAGCCATGTCTGCACCGAGGGCTATGTCCCCTACGGATGGCAGTTCCCGGGAGAGGATGTCCATGTCCCTTCCCAGAAAATAGCCCGCCTCAACATATTCGGCATGACCACAAGGGACAACCGATACGAAGGCTTCACCTCTAGGAGCGGCATAACCGCCGACAAGTTGGCGGACTTCCTCGACAGACTGTCGCTCAAACCCAGGGAAAGAAACACCGTCATCGTGCTTGACAACGCCAGCATCCATCGAAGCAAGACCATGAAGGAGATGAGGCCCGTTTGGGAAAGCAGAGGGCTTTTCCTCTTCTACCTTCCGCCTTATTCGCCTCACCTCAACATCGCCGAGACATTGTGGCGCATCCTCAAGGGCAAGTGGATTCGCCCGCAGGACTACCAGTCTACAGACTCCCTCTTCTACGCCACCGACAGAGCCTTGGCCTCGGTCGGAAAATCCCTCTTCATCAACTACTCTCATTATGCAGCTTAATTTTGACTACTTACTTATCAATATTGTTTTCAATATAGTTTTTCAACAAAAAATAATGACCAGCCATCGTAATGGCTTGATTACATGCCAATGAAAGAATGCTATCATAATCGTTGTCACTAGGATACAATTGGCATCCTACACTATCACCTAGTAGCACCTTTTTCACTTTTCTATTTGATTGAGAGTTGTTTATCGCGCAATATATTTCATACCCATCCACGGTCTTGATATATTTCCCGGTAAAGGTGTTGATCATATCAATAGGAATTGTAATTATAAGAATTA